CATCATCATCATTAGAATGTGATTTTGGGTTGGGTTTGAAGATGCAGGTGCAACCCACTGAATCATCAACTTGTAAGAGGGCCATGGTTTTCCCTCATTATTATCAGCTTTCTTCTTCTCAAAAAAATAGCTTTTCTGGTGTTGGAGGTGGTGGGGACGGCGGCGGTAGTGGAGGGGCCAATTTTTGTAGTACAAATAACCAGGCGGTGGGGTGTGTGAGCAATATCTACGATTCTACAGTCGGCGGCGGAGCAGTTTTTCCGAGGAGCTCTCACAATAGTGGTTTCAAAGGTGTTCTTTTGTATCTCTTTTTGTAACTCAACTTTGTACAAATAGTTTTATTGATCTATTTTTATTTATTTTTAATATACTTGTTCCGTTTTCTACTCCCTAGAAAAAAAAAAATGGACCGTAAAGAAGTGGGGTTTTCTTCTATTAGAAAAAAAAAGAAAAAAATAAATAAATTGAAAGTGTGATTATTATCAGTTAATTTACTTGTACAAAATTTGTTGACAAAATGAATATGACAAGATCTAACCAATGATTTCAAAATATTGCAAACACATAATTTGTAAACTAATTTGTCAACCCATTATCCATTTTGTAAGCATGATGGCTTTATTTGCAGGAGGCATGCTAATGTCTGGAAAAGTTCTTTTTACAGACACACAGTGGCAAGAACTGGAGAGACAGATAATGATATACAAATACATGTTGGCTTCTATCCCTGTTCCATCTCAACTCCTCTTACAACTCTCAAATCCCCCAATTCTAACCTTCCAATCTAAAAGTAAAATTCCCTTTAATTGCCTTGCCTTTTATATCAATTTCTTAATTATATTTCTTTATATTAAATTCATTTTGATTGTTTGGTTGTCAATAACATGCTAAAAAAACTGCGCTTTAGGTCAAAAAATGCTGGTTTTAAGGACAGTCAATATGCTGATAAGTTTTTTGTGTGTAGCATCTGGTTTGGATTTGAGGTTCTCGAGCTGGTCGGATGCAGAGCCGTGGAGGTGCAGGAGAACAGATGGGAAGAAATGGAGGTGTTCAAGAGATGTAGCACCTGATCAGAAATACTGTGAGCGCCATGCCCATAAAAGTCGACCCCGTTCAAGAAAGCCTGTGGAAACTCAATCCCGGAACACTAGTACTAACTATTATTCTCAACAATCTCTTCTCCTTCCACCTGATACTACCACACAAAAGTCAATGGACTTCACTAATCCATATGACCAAACAAGGTGAGTGAGGGTTTTTTGAATTTCTTGCTCCTCTTTGTCCACCATTCTCCAAAAACCATATTTTTTTAATAAAAGAGGGCATTTTTCACTGTACATTTTCACAAATATTTTGCAAGGAAAACCAAAATATTTTCACACTTTTTAACCGTGCATTTTCTGAAAAAATCAATATTCTAAAATTCATTTTCTCCCAAATAACATTAAATTGTTTACTGCTTAAAGTAGAGAAAAAAAAATATTGAAATCCTCTTATTACTCCCGCCGTACCTAATGCTGTTGACAAAATCTTGTTTTTAGTCTATTGTTTTGCTAAAAAATAGTTGGAAAGGTAGATAAAAATTGTGAATCATAACTTTAATTTTATCAATTCATTTTTAGCTAAACTAAAAAGAGGTTTAATCGTGAGTACAATTCTTATACTGCATCAGCACTTATGACATATTTGGTGGAGGATTAATGCACGGTACGAAGTATAAAGGAAACTTAAAATTTTATTTATTTATGCATTTCTTGTTCTTATCCATGAAAAATTTATGTTATAGCCTGTGGGTCTAGTCTCCTCTGTCGACGTGCAAATAAATGTGTCTTGACTCTTGATATTGCTTAAGGTGCACGGAATGGTTCATGAGAGGTGTGAGCAGCAGTGACACCATCCCCGTATCTACTTGTAGCCAACAATGGCATCAACTTATGCTGACATCATCGAAGGTGGAATATTTGAATAGAGACAACACAGTCCGCAACAAGAATAATGTGTCCGTATTTCAATACGATGATAAACAGGATTTCATGAACTCATTTCTTGACCACCCCAAATTAGCCTATTTACAAGGAAACCTCGATTTAAACACTGAAAACACACAGACAACGAGGCATTTTATTGATGCAAGGTCAACGGGAGAGAAAGAGGGCAATGAAAAGTCTAATGCATCTTTAAACAAGAAGAGGTTTTCACCTTCATCTTTGACTCTATCAATGTCAAGAGGAATTAAGATTGGTGAAGATAATGATGAAAGTGCTGCAATAGGTATTGGGACTATGAATACTGTTAAAGAAAATTCTGGGTTTTCGAATACTGTTTCTTGGATGAATTCTCCGCCCGGTGGACCGTTGGGTGAGGCATTGGGACTTGGCAATTCCACCACGGGCGGTGGTGGAAAGGGGTGTTCAGATTTAACTTCACCTCATGGATATAGCAATAGCACTGCTAATAGCAGCAGCTGCAGTAAAAGTTCTTGCGAGGATGGCAGCCATGTACACAATTTTACTGGTTGAATGCTCAACTTTTTGAACTTTATCCAAGAACTGGCCAAACAAAAGCTATGTGATGTGTTTATTTCGTTTAATTTAGTTCCCTTACTCTCATGACTCTATATATTTAGTTATGCACATTTGGGTCCTTTTCATAATTAGCAATAGGTTGGTAGGGAAGTATACTCGGCTTCACCGTTCGATTTTAAGGTTGCCCGTGCCATCTACTAGTTGGGTCCAGAATTGATCATCGGTTAACTTTCTGGAGCCTATCATTCTCATATAATTATTTGCATAGACCTACACGGTTAATCTTTTAGAAATATGAATGCTTTGCTGGTCGTCATATGGAGGCAGCACGCTTGCCTTTATGGCCTGACCGTGTAGGCTATACACTATACAGTCGGATCTTGACGGCCCCCATAATGTCTCGTGTAGTCTGTCATGTTTTGACACACCTGACAAGTGGCAATAGAGATTAGCAAATTTAATACTCCAAGTTCACAATTTTGCCTTTACCATCACTTTTTTCCAATATGTTGTTCTTTTGGCTGTTTTCCTATATATTTTTTACACTTCAGCAAATCATATTTTAACAAATGAGAAGACATTAATGTTTCCAATATGTTGTTCTTTTGGCTGTTTTCCTATATATTTTTTACACTTCAGCAAATCATATTTTAACAAATGAGAAGACATTAATGTGTAATGTGTCGATGTGTCAAAAAATGTATTGGTATACAATTAAAAAGATTAAGTTCGAGCATAATATAAGTATGTTGATGGACATTTGCATGATCAGTGGCATAGACAAATATAATTAGTGAGTTGTCTGGGATAAATTATACTGAAAATGTGTAATGAGTCTTTATGTTACCAAAAATTGTCGTCGGTCGATACCCGAGCTTGACAATTGAGGATAATTACGAACGGAATCTTTGGTACTTGAACAAAAGTATCGAGATTTGTACTTGTCATCCCTTCGATCCTTAAATTAGCGATTGGGGAAATATAAATGTAAGACTTTAATTTGAATATAAAAACATATTTGAATAATGATTTATAACTTGTATTTATAGAGGTAAGTAGCATACTCTTGATATGATTATGATACTTGAAGTCTTATCCGTTTAAGAGATGTAAAAAACTTGAGTATTTCAATATGAGTATGAGTTGTAAGCTAGTTAGAATCTAAACTTATTGAAGTTGGATAAGTTTGAAGATAGAAGTAGAGTTCTACTAAAGTATGTATTTTGAGATAGAGAAGAGGATAAAGGTAAAAACCTAATCCGAAGTGGAATCATCACGTGCGACAATTAAGCCTGATGAGGAGGACACCTTGAGAAAACTCTCAAAGATGACCGAAAACTACCTCGGGTATTCTTGTTCAAGTTTAATAAAAAAAGACCATATTATTGGCCCATGTGCATCCATGTTGGGGACTTGAGGATGTTGCCTAGAATGCTCAAGGTTCAAAAATGAGATGCAGATTACTTGGGTTGAGTGTTGAATGCTCAAGGTTGAGTGAAGGATGTGTTGATAGCAGATAGATCTAGGAAAGAAAGCTTTGGGCTTATAAGATCAATCATTATACTTGATGATTTTTAGGCCTAATTTTTACTAGAATGTACAAAGTATTTGCAAGGATGTTTACACGGGACAACGCTTTGAGGTTCTTGCTTGTAGGCAAAGCTTTGAGTGCTTGCTTCTAGACAAGGTTTTGAGTGCTTGCACGGAGCAAGGCTTTAAGGTACTTGCTCCCGGGCAAAGCTTTAAGTGCTTGCACAGAGCAAGACTTTGAAATGCTTGTTCGTGGGTAGGTTTTGAGTGCTTGTACGAGAAAAGGCTTTGAGGTGCTTGCACGGGAACAAAGTTTTGAGGTGCTTGCTCGGAGCAAGGTTTTGAATGCTTGCATATGGACAAAGCTTTGGGTGCTTACTCGGGGCAAGATTTTAAGTTTTGCTAATAAGAAAATCAAGAGTTAAGGCTCGCCTTCGATAATAGGAAAGCCACGAGCTAAGGCTTGCTTTCGAGCCTTTAATATTAAGAACATCATGAACTAGCCTTGACATGCGAGGACTTACGAGCCCACCAGGCCTTGAACAATTGGGACAATCAATGGTGTGGGTGCCTTTGAACAATAGAAAGTTATCGTTTGACATATCCTCGCTCAAATCTGATTGCATTTTTTGGAGTAATCTGAATATGTGAGCAGAAAATCAGAATCGACTATTTTGAATATAAATAGAATCTTCCAGATAAGATTGGTCCCGGTGGATGGCCAGAGTCACAAAAATTCCAATCTAGATTCATAATTTGCCGACATTGAAAATTGCTTGACTACCCACTAAATCAAATTGTATAGCTGCTTCAAAACTAGCAGGAAAGAAAAACAATTTATCTTTCCTCAAATCCTGCTACATTATCAAATCTATAAAATATGGGGATCCACATAAAGGGCACCAAAGATATTCACTTGATGCCAGACCACAAATCAAATTCTACAAGAAGCCAAAATCAGATTTTAGCAGTGGAGACTGGAAAATTTTGATTGGAAGAAGCTGAAGGCAATATGAAGATAGCCAAAGAAGCCAAAATATCATAGTGAAACGAAAGTTTCCCAATGGCATTCACATCAATTAATTCCCAGCATACCGCATAAAAATATGATATTCTATTTGATTGGCC